GGTGAACTGTAAAGAATGGAGTCATTTAGCAATGATTTCTCAAGGCCTCACCCATCTGATAGTCACAGATATTAGAAAAAAAGCAAACCATACATCATCTGCAGAGCCGTCTCCGGCTGCAGTTAAAGAAAGTGGAAAAAAAGACACACACATTGTGGAGCCGCCTCCTTACTTACACAAAAGCTCCCCTTCTCTCCCGACAGCACCTGGTATGTTTCCAATTTTTGATGTGAAACAGGGCACAGTAGAAATAGCTCCAGGATGTGAGAGAATGGTTAACATGAAGGCCCGAAAAGTTAAAAGCTCTCCTTATAGAATTTGCATAGATAATCTGAGTTCCATGAACACAGACGAGCTTACAAAGGTAGACCCATTTAAATTAACAGGATCAGGACCATCCACATCTCTGCAGTCTGCAGCAGATGAACAGAGCAGCTCCACTGGGAGCATGGCTTCGTCATCCCCTCCCGCTTCACAGCCTCAAAGCAGTGACACTTTGTCTGTTACTCATAACCCCTCGCCTCTTTTAGGATGGGAAAATAGGCCTGACTTTCCCAAAATAATGCACCCACGTCACTCAAACTCCCAGACAGATGAATAGTGAGTCCTGTGCAGTACCAGTCAGAATTACATCTGAACTGCTCGCTGTCCCCTGTGAAAATAATGACACATGCAGTGCTGGGCTCCCTAAGGTTTACTTTACACCCCCAGTCTGTGTCAAAACAGACCCCCAAGAGCAAGAAGAAGGAAGCAGCACATCTCATCCGGGTAATTATCTTCTGCTGCACTCTGGTGGCCAGATTAAGTATAAACCTTTTGCCTTAGGTGATGTGCAGGCCCTAGTGGACAGACTTCCCCCGCTGACTGAAGGAGGTAGTAAGTGGTTAAATGYTGTTGACAGCTTTACTAAAGGGACGACTCTAGCTGTGGGTGACATGAGAGCTTTGTTAGCTAGATGTGTCACTACAACTAAGATGTGTGAGATAGAAGTTGCAGCCAAATGGGGGYGTCGTGTGCCTGACTCTGACCCAATGACCTTACACATTACAGCTTTGGCAGCAGCTTTGAGAGAGGCTTATCCTCTCCCAGAGGGGGCAGGGTTCCCAAGTTTCAGTGGAAACCTGGACAGAACCCCACCTCCTACTTAGATCAGTGTAAACAGGACTGGCATGACAGGACACACTGTCATGGCCAGAATAAAAGCCAGAGACATTTTTTTAGACAAGCCATTTTAGAAGGTGTACCTGCTGAGGTGGTGAAAGCGATGAAAGCTAACCCTGACCTACCTGCAGCTGAGACAGAAATGTGGGAGAGACATTTCATTCATTTTCTACAGGAAGCAGCTGACGATGCTAATAAGACTAAGGCTAACTTAGAGGACATGCAGACCCAGTTACTTAAACTTCAGTTAAAGCAGGCTAGAGATGTGGTCAACCCCAGGAAGGTCAAAATGCAAATGGTGGCAGCTGTAGAAGCACCACCTGTGACACCTCCAGCACCGCCCTTGCCGTCACTGCCAGTCCCTTATGAGCAGCCTCAGTGGCGCGGCAGAGGCATGTGGATGGCTAGGGGTGGACCATGGGGTATGGGGTACCGCCATGGTTACATGCAGGGATCCAGAGCACAAGATGTACGTCACTACTGCCAGAAACCTGGACACTGGGCCAGAGACTGTTTCCTGAGACAGGGACAAGGTCCCCCACAGGGAGGAGCACAGTACCAAGCTCCAAACCCACAAATGGCTCCGCCTGGTCAGTATCCCAATGTGGCTGGGAACTGCACTCAGTGGCACGGTCCTGAGGGACATTTTCAGCAGTGACACAC